CTTGCAGATGCCCACCTTGCACACCGCCACATTGCCCATGCACACACAGCCTATGCACACGCTGCGTGTGCATGCACGCGTCGTGCCCGTGCACACCCCTGCGTTGCATGAATGCACATTCCCCGTGCATGCACGCGTTGCGCCCGGGCGCACCCCTACGTTGCACGAGTGCACATTCCCCATGCATGCGTGCGTTGCATCCTTGCACGCCCCTACATTGCATGAGTGCACATTCCCTGTGCGTGCACGCGTCACGCCCGTGACACCCCTGCATTGCATGAATGCACATTCCCCGTGCATGCATGTGTCGCACCCTTGCACACCCCTACATTGCACGAGTGTACATTCCCCATGCATGCATGTGTCGCACCCTTGCACACCCCTACATTGCACAAGTGTGCATTCCCTGCACATGCACTGCGCATGCATGCACGTATTGCACCCTTGCACACCCCTGCATTGCACGAGTGCGCATTCCCTGTGCGTGCACGTGTCGCACCCTTGCATGCCCCTATGTTGCACAAGCGTGCATTCCCCATGCATGCACACGTTGGACCCTTCCACACCCCTACATTGCATGACTGCACATTCCCCGTACGTGCATGCGTTGCACCCGTGACATCTCTGCGTTTCATGAGTGCACATTCCCCGTGCATGCACGCGTCATGCCCATGACACCCCCGCGTTGCACAAGTGCACATTCCCTGTGCACGAGCATGCATTCCCCGCACACGTGCTGCTCATGCATGCACGTATTGCACCCTTGCACACCCCTGCATTGCACGAGTGCGCATTCCCTGTGCGTGCACGTGTCGCACCCTTGCATGCCCCTATGTTGCACAAGTGTGCATTCCCCATGCATGCACACGTTGCACCCTTGCACACCCCTACATTGCATGACTGCACATTCCCCGTACGTGCATGCGTTGCACCCGTGACATCTCTGCGTTTCATGAGTGCACATTCCCCGTGCATGCACGCGTCATGCCCATGACACCCCCGCGTTGCACAAGTGCACATTCCCTGTGCACGAGCATGCATTCCCCGCACACGTGCTGCTCATGCATGCACGTATTGCACCCTTGCACACCCCTACATTGCACGAGTGCACATTCCCCGTGGACACACATGTTGCACCCTTACATGCCCCTGCGTTGCATGAATGTACATTCCCTGTGCATGCATGCGTCGCACCCTTGCACGCCCCTGTTGTTGCACGAGTGCACATTCCCTGTGCATGCACGTGTTGCACCCGTGTACACTCCTACGTTGCACAAGTGTACATTCCCCGTGCATGCATGTGTTGCACCCTTGCACACCCCTACATTGCAGGAGTGTGCATTCCCCGCACACATACTGCGCATGCATGCATGTATTGCACCCTTGCACACCCCTACGTTGCACAAGTGCGCATTCCCCATGCATGCACGCGTTGCACCCTTGCACGCCCCTGCGTTGCACGAGTGCGCATTCCCCACACATTCACTGCGTGTGCATGTTGCACCCATGCACCCCTCGCACACGCTCCCCTTGCCCATGCACGTGCGTGCCACAAACATACCACACGCATGTGCCCACCTTGCACACTCCCCCCCTTGCACAGACGGGCACGCTCGCCTCTGAAGCCCGAGGCCGAGGGGCTGCCCCCCGGGGGACCCAGCAGCACAACGCCGTAGCTTTTCCTTTTTAATAAAAAAAAACCCCAAACCAACCACACCAAATGTACAAAGAGCAGGAAAATTTACAGCTGGTTTGTCTTAAAAAAAAAAAAAAAAAGGCTCAACGTCATCGAAAAAGCAGCAAGGGCCAACCCCGGGGGGGTGGGGGGGTCTGGCAGCGCAGGGTGGGTGCCCGTGGGGTCGGTCCATGGAGCCCATCCGGGCTCGGCTTTTCCCATCTTGGAGCTTTTATGGATCCCAGGGGTTTCCTGGGGTGATGACACCAGCGTCAGCACCCGCCCGCTCCACCCGTCCCCACCCCACGTCCTTGCC